ATGATTCAGAGGGTTCTATTCTAGACCTCCTACAGGTTTCGGAATGCTAGAAGAAAGGAACTATAGAAATACAGTATGGTAAAAATACAGGCGTATTCATAAAAATTCTTCGCTCGACCAAGAAGAAGAACGCATCAAATCGAATTTGAAAATTCAGCTGTCTCTTCATGGGAAAAACCGAAAGCAAAATCTACGTAATCATGGTTCTTAACGCAACTAATTCTAATTAAATTTCGATTTTTTTAAATTCCGTTTTTTAGGGAGAGTTAAATTTTTTTCCCGTTTGGGCTCTCAAAATATACTACATGATTTTTTAGACGTTTCCATTCCAACCAAATCTAACAGCAAATTTTATACACGACAAAAGTTGCCCATAATTTTACACTGAATTCGTCGGGATTTGCTCGAAATTTGTCGCTGATAAGCAAATCCCAAGCTTTTGCGCAGACCAGAAAACTTCGCTCGGAAATTTCAACAGGAACTTCGGAATTCATTCCTTGGAACAAAAACGAGGTTCAGGACTAAAATAAATGACAAAAGCGCACGAAGTTAACACGTAAGTTAACGCGTTTCTTGCGAAACGAACATACCGTACTCCAAATAAATAAAAACCCATGCTACAGTATAAAGTTATTTTTTTCACTTCGAAGTTAAAAAAATAATAACTGCTCAAGAATCGTCCATAAATGTATAAAGCTCGCATTTTCATCAGCTCAGAACCCCCTATGCATTGTAACATTCGATCCTGGAATCAAAAATCCCACTATCTGATCGAGATTCAGGAAACTTTGTTCTCGAGACATTCGAAAAATATTTCTCTTTTAAACTTGAAAGAAACGAGAAAAAAACAAGCGTAAAAATGGTAAAATCGAGACAAAACGTCTTCTCCCCTGCTAAGCAAGGCAAGTACAGTATTGAAACTTTGCCATGTACAGTAGTTCAAAGAAAAATTTACACCTTCCGCGATAATCTTCGCAAATTGAACTAAGCGTGTGATTTCATCGCTCAACAAACATTTGGACTAGTAAAAAACTTCAAAAGCAAAAATATCATAATACAGTTAAACCTCGATTAATTGAACCTCTTCAAGTCGAATACCTCCCCCCATGTCAAATTTTTTCAAGTCTCTTCGTATGTTCACTTAGAAACAATGCATATTAAACTTCCATCACTCGAATTCTCTCAAGGCCTTTCGGATATTAGTCTATTTCCACAGGAAAGAGGAAATCATTTAACTTGACGCATTTTGAAAGAAAGTTGAAAAGTAATTTGGCAAATAACCCTTTGCTTTCAACTCAAACTTATTCAAAAATCAATTCAAGGCCCAGAATCTTCACCTTCTACAATTTCATGTAATTCTTCATAGTTTTCCCTCAAAACAAAAAAGCTTGCCTCCCTAACTTGAAACCTTTGTTTGTTTTTTCCTTGCAGTTCAACTTGAAGAGGTTCAACAGCAAAAACAAAAAAAAGACAGCAAGGCAAAGCAAAGGTATCTTGAACGTTTCGAGATGAGGACAGGCACAGATTCGCACAACGGCAAAAATATATAATCTGGGAATAAACACTCTCTTCTCCCCGAAATGATAAAATTAATTCATAATTCTAAAAACATCCATAGCGAATGTAAAAAAAAAAAAAAAAGAAGAGAGAAAGAGAAAGGTTTCATCAGCTCGTGTTGGGATATTCCTCCAGGTAGAGCTTCAACGACGCCGGCAACACCTTGGCCAGGTCCGCCTTGGTCACAGCCGCCCGATTCAACGCCAACCGCGCCGCGTGTTTCAACGGCGCCACGCGGTGCTTGAGCGGCGCCCGGAGTCGCACGTGATCAAACGTGTCGCCGTTCTTGTCCAACCACACGTGACACTTGAGTCGGTCCGAATCGCACACAGACACGTAAAAGTCCACCAAGTCAACGACGCACTTTTTCCGCGGCACGGCTCGAGCCATTTTTCGCACAGCGTCGAAACTAAACAAGCCGTCGTCGTAGTGGATGCGAACGGAAGTCGGGCCTCGTTTCGTTTGCACACTGAGACTGAAGAGGAAACGGGGGTCTTGAGAGTCGCGAACGAGGAAAGTGCCCTCGGGCTTGTTGGCCAGCAGGTCGATGGCTTCCTGCCATGAGACGCCCTCGTAGTAGAAGCCGCTTTCCCGGAGGCGGCTTTGAGTGGCGGCGATGCAGTCCACGTCTTCCGGGCGGCCGCCGCCGCCTCGGGACTTGCCCAGCGGATCCGCAGACGAAGAGTCGTCCACGATCAAGGCTTGGAAAGGGTACCTAACGGAAAAAAAGAGGAAAAGAAAGAAAAAAGCCATCGTCAGACAAATTCGTTCATTCAATCAACAAATTTACAATTTGCCATCCAAATTTTCAACGTGGAAAATAAACGCAGAAATTTAAAGTACACAAATCATCATCCCTTCACACGCCGACATTTTTCAAGACAAGAGCAAATGGCGAAAGCAAAAATAACCTGGCAAAGGGAAAAAATTAAGCAAGGAATACAGTATTCGAAAACTAATGAGCGACTTGGATTCAACAAAAATTTTCAGCTCTTTCAAATCTTCGCGTAGTTTTTGGATAAAATTTGCGCTGGGAAAATATGTCCGGAATTTTTTTAACCTCACTTAAAATAAATTTTTTGGTAACGAATGGCATCGAAAACTATTAGTCAAAATTGAAAAATTGCACATCGCTTTCCAAAAATAAGCCTAATTTGAGAAATTCTTCAGCATTTGTGCATTTTCCATAAGTGTTTTCAAATACCGCATTTGCTTCGCCTTAATGAAGATTATTTAGGCATCAAAAACGATTCACCTATTCATCGAACTTCTTGGCATTGAGAAAGTCATTTAATCATTTTCAAATCTCTCGTTCAATGATCATGAAAATTTTCAAATAATATCTTTCCTACGAATAGATTCGGGACCATTTTCAGCTTTAGTGAATTTTCACAGAATTTTATGAGCTTTGGAAGTCGGGTGAGATTTTTTTTCGTATTTATGAATTTTTGCAAACAAACGGTATAAAAACCTAAGCAATGCGTTATTCGATTAAATTAAAATATCCTATAAACAACGAATATCAATTGATCACTTTTCCAAGAATTTCTGCGATAATCAATCAAACGGGAAAATGATCGGAAATTTCGAAAACCTTTATTAAAAAAACGGGATTCAGTCCAAGAAATTTTGAGACCCTCCAAAGGCACAACTGTTCGCACAAAAACGTCATCAANTAAAATCGGGATCCCATTGTGAAAATTATTCAGGCATCACATTTTTAAATGCAATATTTGCAACCGTTTCAACAGATTCCAACGATGGTTTCTTTTTGCTTGAGGAGTATAAAATCAGCACAAAAAAACCCCGTAGAAAGGAATACGGTTGAAAACTTGCAATTTTATGAGAAAACTGAATTTTTTCAAGTTCACCTGAGGCTAAATTTCCCCCTCAAAATTGTCCAAAAACACGAAACCGATAGCAAAAATTGCTCGAAGTTTGCACACAAGTCGCCTAATGGATGCAATGAAAATTTTGAGGATGGTTTCTGCGAAGATCACGAAAAATCGGAAAAATTACTTGAAAACCGACAAATTATTCTCGAAATTGTCATTCATGAGCAGGCACAATTGAACACTGTAGGAGGAAAAAATATTCACAAAAAAAGGACAGAATTTATTTAATTTGGCTGAATTCGGAGAAAATTCTTTACTAAGAAAGAATTTGACCAAAGATGGTGTCACATTCCAGATACTCGTGGCGATTCTACCGAAACTTGATTAATCATGTCGAAAAAGGTCTTATTCATTCTACCTTATTCTACCTCATTTATTCTAAATTCCAAGTTGGATATGAAAATAATTTCCAATTCTAACTTTTCTAAGTGACATGATTTTTAAAAGAACGCATTGAAATAAGAATACATTATCAAAACACCGTTGGGGTGGGATGATTGAATTGGTTTAGATCAACTCGCAATGCAAAAAATGTCCATGAAATACTTTCTCAACTCTCTGAGTCTGCAATTTTGGTCACAATACAAGTTCGGATTTTTCCACTGATTTTAAATTAACATATCTCAACAGAAAAAGACACCATTTAAAAGCCTACGAAGTCGTTCGGGGTAAAGAATTAAATTGACCGAGACCAAATCGCAAATGAAACAATTGTCCGCGGGATTATTCAACAAATTTGAGCATCTGTACGCCAATTTGAAAAATAAAAGGTCTCTGATTTCCTACATTTCGTAAGCACAAAAAAGAACACAAAAAGCTTCTCTGACATCAGTCAACACTTCCCCAGAAGAACGGACTCCTTTCTCCGTCGTGAAAAATACAAGTGCGTCGGCTCTTTCATGAAAAGCCCGTAGTGTACTGTAAAGTGTCTTTTCTATTACACAGTGTAACTCATTGTGTGTGAAATGATATCTGTACAGTGTACACGCTGACAGTACAGCTATTTCTCTGCCGCGCACCTTTTCTCAAAATCTCGGAAGTACGCCATAGTACTTCGGCCGCACTAAAGTTACGACTTGTCCTGGTTGGGGGCAGAACTTATGACATGATTAAACACGCGGAAAACGTTTTATTTTTCTCATGAACGTGAGCTTGCTTAAGTAAAAAAGTTTCAAGTAAAAATTACGAGAATAAGAGTAAAATCTGCGGTATGAACAC